CTGTGATTTTGAGTAAGAGGCAAGCTAAGTCTCCAAAACACCAAAAAGATGATATTTAGTCTGGTATAGAATTGGCCATGGGAAGAGAGGTTGGAGAAGAGGACAGAAAGTTTTCATGGTCAGAATCATGTAAAGCCTTGTATGAGCTGGGAAGAAGTTTCATTTTTATTTGCAGTGTTGTCAGAAGTTACTGAAGAGTTTTAAAGAGATGAATAGCAAGTCTGATTTACTTTGGCTCCTGTGTGCAGAACAGAACCTACATAGTAGAGCAAGTTGTCAAAGGAGCATTCGGAGGAGGGATTTGCTGTCGTCTCAGCTTGAATTAAGGTAGCTAGGGTGGATCAGGTGAAAAGTGATCCTACTCAAGATACATTATAAAGATAAAATCAGTAGGACTTGCTGATGATTCAGGTTAGACAAAAGTAGTAAAGGATGTTAGTATATGATGTGAATGTATATAAATCAATAGCATACCAACTTATTAGTACAAAATAATGGTAAAATGAAACAGCAAATATAATATGATTTGCAATGGAATCAGAAAGGTGGGGTATTTCAGATGAAATTCAAATAAATGGGGACAACTGTAATTGCACAATAAAATATATAAATAAATAGATGGATTAATTAATTAATTAAACACACCAAAAAACCCCAAAATATTCACAAAAGTAAAAAGACTTCAATAAATTAAGAAATACATTATGTCCACAAATCAGATTATCTGTTGTATAAAAATCATTTTTCCTCCAAATGAATCTATAAATTCTACGATATCTCAACGAAGCTTACAGCGGGCTATTTAAAAGAAATGGACAAGTTGTTTAAAACTCATAAAATAATAAAAATTACTTACAGGAGCCCAAGCAATTAAAAATAGGAGTAGGAGAAGGAGATTAATGCAGCTGGTGAGCTCCCATTGCTTGATGTCCACACGCAGTATGAAGCTACAGCTACAAATTAAGACAGTGTGAAAGGAAAGACATTCAGATCAATGGAGGATAATATACAGTCCAGTAACAGAGCCAAGCAAACATAATAAAAAGACTTTTGACTGAAGTGCCAGGATAAATCAATGGAGAAAAGAAAATCTTTTAAACAAATGGTTTAACAACTGAGTTTCCCTATGGGGAAAAAATGAAACATTACTATTACTTTTATCATACAACATATGAGTATTGATCATATGTCTTGAAAAAGATATAACTGCAAACTTCAGGAAGAAACATTATAACATTGGAGTGCACAAAAAAATTTAGACTACACAAATAACAAAGTTAGAAATTATTAATTGGATTTTGTCCAATTATTAATTAAAAATAAAGAAACTTTTCCTATTCTTAAGACACCATTTCCAAATTGAAAAGACAAGGTTCACACTGAGAGCAAGTATTTGTAAATCAAACTTGCCAAAGAATTTTTATCTAGAATGCACAAGATTCCTTAAAACTCAACACTAAAATCATCAACTCAGCTGGAAAATGGATAAAGAATTTGAATAATTTCCACAAGAATATGTAAAAATGTCCATTTAGCATAAAAAAGATATCTTAAATATTTATTTACAAAGGAATTGCAAATTAGAAGCACAATGTGATACAGCTGCACAATTAGATGACCACAATTTTAAAAAATGATATCGAGTATTAGCATAAAAGCATCTTTATAAAAGATGAACCAGAAGATATGTAAATAATATGCAGTATATCAGTGCAATGGAATTACTCATCAATAAAAGGAAGGAACCCTGTTTTTAGTTTTTTGAGGTAACTCCATACTGCTTTTCACAGTGGCTGCACCAGTCTGCATTCCCACAAACAGTGCAGATGGGTGCACTTTTTCCACATCCTCATCAACACTTGTTTGTTGATTTATTGATGATAACCATTCTAACAGGTGTGAGGTGATATCTCATTGTGGTTTTAATTTGCATATTTCTAACGATTAGTGATGTTGAGCATGTTTTTATATGTCTATTCACCATCTGTATGTCCTCTGGAAAAATCTCTATTCAGGTCCTTTGCCCATTTTTTATTTGGATTGTTTGTTTTTTGATGTTGAGTTTTATAAGTTCTTTATAAATTTTAGATAATGACCCAGCAATTCCACTTCTGGGAATTTATTTGAAGAAACCTGAAACACTAATTTGAAAAAATATATGCACCCTTATGTTCACTGCAGCATTATTTATGATAGCCAAGATTTGGAAGCATCCCAATGTGTCCATCAGTAGATGAGTGGATAAAACAGCTATGGTACATTTACACAATAATATACTACTCAGCCAAAAAGAAATTTACTCTTTGTAACAGCATGGATGACCCTAGAAAACATTATGCTAAGAGAAATAAGCCAGTCAGAGAAAGACAAATACCATATGATTTCACTCATATGTGGAATACAATGAACAAACTGAACTAACAAGCAAAACAGAGACAGACTCATAAACAGAGAGCAGGCTGACAGCTTGGGGAGGGGTTGAGGGATGGAGGGTTTGAACAAAAAAGAAAAAAAATTCATGGACAACAGTGTGGTGATTGTGGTCGGGGGAGGGGGAGGGATGAAGCTGGAGGAGAGTATAAAGGGGATAAATGGTGATGGAAAAAATTGAATAAAAAATGAACTGTTAAAAAAGGAATGAACACTATTTCATATATACAACATGAATGAATCTCACAAGTATTACGCTGGAAAAAAATCCAGACAAATAAAAGTACATATCATGTAATCCCATTTAATTGAAGCTCTAGGTAAACTAACCTACAGTTGAAGAAAACAGATCAGTGACTGTCTGGGAGAAGAGACGGAGAGAGAAACAACTATGGGAACAGCTTAGGACATGGGAGATGGGAATGTTCTGAGTCTTGATTGTGATTTTAGTTTCACAGATAGATGAATGTATCTTCCAAACTTATTGAATAATACACTGTAAGAGGATGTAGTTGACTACAGATAATTTATATTAAAGTTACTTATGAAAATAACAAAGAGTACTAGAAAAGAACCAGAGCCATTTGTTTCCCAATTTAATTAAAAATGGAACCCTTTACAGGCAAAATTAGAGAAAAAATATATACATATAATTTATAAATGCCATAGTTTGCCATGTATGGTGTACACCTACTATTTTGCCATTTTTTGCACATTAGTGTACCCATGGTATGTAATTATTATACCCATGTATAATGCACATCTTCATTTTTTCCCTCAAAAATTTGGGCAAAAACATATGCATTATACACAGCAAAATACAGTAAATGATAAGGTGATCCCTCCAAAAAGATATTCAAACATAAGGGAAGAACAGCAATTTCTATTCTGACAGAGGAATGATGTAAAATACTCAACTGTCAACTAAGAGGTTATTGTATGTTTTTCTAGATGAATGACATGGGTACTGTATTGGTGTGGTATTTGGATCTCACTGGATGCTTTTAGTAAAGTAAAAAAAATTAATTGCTACTATCTAATCTTGAATGAAAATAGTTCTATGAAGCCTTTACAAAAAAAATAAAAGGTACATAGTCTTCCAAAAAATTTTAGGGAATATTAATGCAAACATTTTGAAGACCACTGTTGAATTGGAAAGAAACTTGTCCTTTTCACAGCTTCCTTTCTCATGCCTGTTGTTTTAAGCAACATGTAGTGCTCAGGGAGGCAGTGTCATTAAAACAATGGTGAATAAAAATAAACACTAAGTAATCATTGTCTGGAGGAAAATCAGGAAACATAACCAAATCTCATATTATCAAATCTGATAATATTAAGGAATACATGTTTGCCTCAACTACTTGACATTTTCAGTTTGTGTTGACACGTTTAGTCTGTAATTAAAGACCCATATCACACAACCTTTGAATTATAAAAAAGAAAATAATAGATAACTTTAGTTCAAAACCTCATTTTCCTTTGCTTTTAATTCTAATCTTAAACATATAACTGTAACCTGTCCATTTAGTAATTACTCTGTTGTTTAAATGTACACACAGATTCAGACACTCACAAAGACAGAAACACCAAGGTGCACACGTACATGGCTGACTTACTACATGACTTCTTCAAAAGCAGGCATGCCTTACATCTTCCACAGCGACAAGTACATTGTTAAGTTCATCAGATCCTAATAAGAACTGAATGAGGCATAAATCATATATTTTTCTGCTCATAACATATTACATGAAGACATCCCACTTAATAAATTTAATTCATATTTAACACCAGATTTATTTGGGGGGAAGCAGTCCTAGTTATGACTGCTAATCAGTGGATACTTTTGCAATTTTCTGTTCTTTCAATGAAGAAATATTTATCCCTAATTTGTCTTCCAAATATTTTCAGTTTTTAGAGACTAAATGAACACTGTACAATTCATTCATTGGTTAGTGGCTACAAAAGGATATAATACATATTTATTTTGATTTCTGGAATAATGTATGAAATATTTGGTGATAGATATTTCTGAACAATATATGGGACTTTACAGTATTTTTAAATGTTTCCTTAAAATGTAATATAGTTAAGTATTAGAATAAAGTATATAGAAAGTATGAAAATAATGGTGAATATATCATTTCTTCAAAGACTTTTACTTCTGGTTACTCAATTCTGTCCTAAATACACTATTTTTTTAACATGACTAACTATATAATAGTCAAAAATACTTTTAAAATGCTACAGACACACAGAGAAGCTAGCAATTTAAAAAATGAAGGTAGGGGTGTAAGTTCCTAAGAGTCTGGATGTTAAAAATGATAAAGCAGAAAATAAATTATTAACTTTGTGATTAATGACCTTTTCCATAAGTCATCGGCTTTCTCAAAAGATTATACTTCTTTCATTGATTGGCTAATTTATGTTTCTTAAGTCAACACAGGACCAGGGGTTAGGCTACTGGTTCTATTTATTTTGTCAATAATTCTGCCTAGTCACCTATGACTGATAGCTCAGCATAGATACTGTATCTCGAGACATGCTGTATTCAGAATTGACCCTGTATTTTCCTGCCTGAAAAACCAGGGTGAAAGGCAGACCTATTTAAACTTGATTGAACAGTGAACATCAGTTCTTTCTAGCTACACAGGAAAACGAGTCTGTACAGTTGATCACTTTCTAAAAATCTCTTGACCTACTCTGAAGTTAACCACTATCATCAAAATGTTTTGTGGAGACTATGTAAGTATAATAGCTTTTTCTGTAAAACTTTCTAGTCATTTGAGATTTCAAACATAAAATTTCATTTGTGGTACTTGACATTTCAACAGGAATATTGGTGTTTTAATTTACTTTATTAAATTTTTAATTAGTAGAGGCTCAATATAACTATTAAACAAAGTTAATATTATTAAACCTCAAATCCATGCTAATATTGAAGTAATATATTATTCCATAGATGCAATTTAGTTACACTTACTTTCGTAAATCTAACTGTAGAAATTAGAATTATAACTGTAAATTCTAATAAGACATTTTTTGCCTCCATATTTCTCATTATCAGAAATTGTAAATAAGCATGCTTGTTAATTTTTAAAGTCATGATCTCTTCAGAAAATACAGTTTATTTTTAAATAATTGTCTGTTGAATTTAAGCAGTGTATAACTCAGGTTGGCCACTTCCTTTATTTCCCTTGTCTGAATTAGTAGTTTTGATCCAACTACTAATGGTCCACAAACTTTTGAAGAACTAACACAGACACTGACTTATCTAAATATACACTGTATGAAAATACATCCAATTCACATGACCTTGAAAATTATACCTAGGTATGGCATGTATAGATAATTTTTTTAGAAATCTGTATTATGAAAAATGCTTTCAGAAAGCTTTTTACTTTATGCAAAAAAAATTACAACATAATTGTTTGGTTAAACTTTGGCACAAAACAATATTATTTACTTATTTACAAAGTAATGATTACTGGACCTTTTAGTTTACTTATTTTGTTTTTCAAATTCAATATTAGATGAGACCTAAAATGTGACTACTTTCCATCACTGTTGTCTTTAGAATCTTTATTTCACCTTGAGATTTCAGGATCTTGTTGGCAGTTGAAACTTCTCATTATTGTTTTGTTAATTTTGAGGTAGTTACATTTCAGTACAGGGAAATAAAATTTATTAGGTAATTTAGGCCAGTATAGTAAATTGTTTAATTTGTAAAAAGCCACATAGTTTTCTCCATTTATATTTATTCAAGTACAATTATTTGGAAATAATTAGTATTATATTCTTTGTGCTATGTCTTATATTAACATGTATATGCTAATTTATCAAAAAACATGTAGAGAATATTTAAATGATATTCCAGGGATTATTAAAAGTTGCAATGATATGATTTTAAAGAAATGTAATTATTTGCTGTACTTCTGAAATAGATAAAGAATATCAGAGATTAAAGAGCTGCATTTGAACATACCTAAAATTCATTTTAAGTGTTTTAGTTATCTATATCAGATAAAAATTTCTTGGGTTTTATGTATTATTTCTGCCAGTTTTGATGGTAGAATGGTTTTACATAATCAGTGTTATCATATTTTAAAGCAATTATTTATTATCTCAAGACATTTTGGCCCAAGTGGTTAGAATTTGGTATTAGAGAGACCACTATTTGAGGGCAAATTCTTCTGGTTAATCTCCATTTTGGGTCCAGTGTCCTCGGACAAAAAACTTGTTCTGGCACAGGCAAGAAAGCAGAAGTTCTCGTATTATAATGTGGATACTAATCGACTGGGCTGCTGGTTAAAAAATAGAGGCCTGGGCCCTTTACTCAGTAGTTCTGATTTAAATGTATGACATCTGACTATATGGTTGATATATTCATGACCATTTTTGAGAGCCACCAATGTAATTCATTACTTTGTTACAAAACTAAAATAGAAAATTTTAAAAAGTCAAGTAAGAGGCAAGAATCCTAGAAAAGCAGTTATGTTTCCGTAAGAAATAAGCGTACGTAATGCTTTAGAGTAACTTTCTAGAAACATGGAGTTAGGTGGCTCTCAGTGATTAAGGCAGTTTAAATGGGTGAGTTACTCTAAGAAGATAAATTTACCTTTGATTCATAAGTGTATTTTACTTATGTGCTTGACTATAAGATTCTCTATTGAAAGCAAGATTTAATTAAATGATTATGGCAAGCCTGGAACTGTTCTGATTATTAATTACTCAGATATAAGTCACCTCTCAGGAAGATAGTACCCCTCTTAGATGGAGGAAACTGCACTGTGGAGTGTTAAAAAAATAAATAAAAACCCAAGCGAGAATCCACCCCGGGAATCTCTGTGTGATTGTAACTCAAGCTAAAATAGAATGCCTCTTTCGAATATGCATCCTGATTCTTCCAGTGAAATTCTTGGCTATTTTTGTCCTGTTAGTCATCAGCTGAGTCCCTTTTTGTATCGCAAATGCTTTTTTGATATAGCATTTTATTTACTATAGATTCATTCATTTGATTAGACCCTTTGTTTTTGCCTCTAAGTAAACTTTAATCCTAGTCCTTTTCCTATCCTATTGACAACTTTCCTGTTTCTATCGTACTTATTAACTGATAGGGAAGTGTTAATCATAGCAGTATCACAATCAATATAACCTATTTGTATCATATTCCACACTTCACATTATACATTACTCTTAAAGTAGAGAAACAATTATGAAAATATCTTGTGTTTTCATATTCAGAGATTTATATACCTTGTCTACTTTAATAGTCAAAGCAAATATATTTTTATAAGAATACCACTTAGCATGCAAGGGTTTGGAAATTCTTCTTGGAGACACCAGATATTCTGCTCAGTGGTTTTGCACATATTTTTAGTTTTGACAACCTTCAAGGAAGGTCTTACCGCCTCCATTTTCTCATGAATATGCTGAGGCTTAGAGCAGTTGAAATACTTCTCCCAGGACTGAAAAGCCAGCCAGTGAAGGAGGGTCCTTCCAAACTCCAAGAACATTTCTCCCACAAAAATAAATGAGATAAAAGTTCCCAAATATGATGATTATCCTGACTTCAAATTTTGAAGCAAAAAAATAGATATTTTGTGACCCTAATTACAAGATGTAAAATTAGCAGGAGTGTCTTTCCAAAGATGCTCTTACTTAACAAACTTGCCCCCAGAAGGGCTCAAGAGTCATAAAGTCAGGCAACAGCCATCCGGGCCATGTCCAGTGTGGGCAACAGGACATTCTGCATGCACTTTGGCCCACCTGGTATGGAATACCTGCACTGGCACTTAACGGTGAATTGCATATCATGGAGGAAGAACACTCAGAAAATCAGAAACAAATTCAGGGCATTCCATCCAGGAGGGTCTGCAGCTGAGAAGACCTCCCGTGAGAGCAGAGGCTGTCGAATAGGTAAAAATTGTTTTAAAGCAGGCTCTTCCTACTGAAAGGTATTCCCCAGGAGAAAGAATCCATCCAAGAAATCTGACTTTGATTGTTTATCTGCAGTATGACTTACTGAACAAATATTAATAAAAGGTTACTCATACTTTAGATTGCTTTTTACTATCACAAGACTACGTTGTCTGAACTTTACATACTTTGATTCAACAAAAGTTATGAATCATGCTGGTTATAGCTTCAACTCTTACTAAAGCCTCTTTTGAACTAATATATATTGAATGGGAAAAGTTAAATGTACTTTTTCTTTGAAGTGTTATATAGGCAAGTTGTTAAATTTATATAAATCTACTAGCTGTAGATTGCTTTTAAGGTAGAGGCTGGCAAACGTGACTATAAAGTAGTCAACACATAATCAGAGTCGGTGTACCCAATAGGATCCATACGACTGAGGACAATTTACTTAATACTTTGTCTATCTCAATTCTCCTACCTATAAAATGGGTGTGATAAGGGCATCTATAATGTAAGAGTCTCTTGAGAAGTGGCAGGTAAAGCACTATGAGGACTTAAAGCATAAATAGCACCCCCCAAAAAGGGTGAACCATTATTAACATTTTTAAGTAACAGTGCCGAATTTGAACATAACTCTAATTCAAAACCCCTGGAACTGCTTGTAGAGATGAGGTTAAGTTTGTACCTATTACTAATGTTAAATTTGTGTGTATATATAAATTTGTATATATATGTGTGTGTGTGTGTGTAATTATTCATAAAATTTATGGATAAACTTGAGTAACATCATTTTATGAGAGGAAATATAAATATATTCTCTTAAATTCAGTGATCTTTATTTGTACAAATAGCACTGCCACACTAAAAAATTTCATCATCCCACTTTCCTCAACACTTACTGCCAAATCTCTTTTTTATGGTAAACTCCTCAAAAGTGTACTGTACTCATTACATCCAATTTCTCTCCTTCAATTCTCTCTGAATCCCCTCCAACTGCATTTCCACTTACTCTACTTACAGAGGTAAGCAGTGACCTCCCTGCACCTGAACCCCACACCTAATTCCCATGTCTCACCTTAGGAGTACACGAGTGCAGTGTGACAGTCTCCTTTGCCAGGAATGTCCCAGAGCTAATTTCTTTAAACTCTTCTCTTTCCTATTTATAGCCACTCCTTTGGTCACTGTATCCAATATAATGGTTTTAATTACACTGTATTGAGTCTTTTCTTAATTTCTATCTCAACCTAGCATCTATGCTAAATTCATATAACCAGGTGCTAATACAGTGAGTGGAAATTCCATCCTCTTACTAGTTCATGCAAAAAAAAAAGGTAATAATTTTTTTTAGAAAGGACTTATCTCTGATTCCCCTCTTTATCTCACACCTTACAAATGATCCATTAACAAAACCTCCTGGCTCTACTTTCACCTCGTATTCATTATCCGACCACCTCTCACCACTTCCATGGCAACGATCCTGGTCCAAGCCACCACTGTCATTTGCCAACTTTACGCAGTAGCCTCCTACTTAGTCTCTCTGCTTCCATCTTTGCTCTCACTTCCACGTACTAGGCAGAAAACAGTGAATACGATTGTCAAAAACTGCAATCCTGAAACATGAGTTCCATTGATGTACAGGAGCCAACGTCATCCTGGAATTAGAGAAAGTCACACACTAGAAGGTAGAAACATTAAAGAGGAGATTGTGAGAAAGCTTTTGGTTCTCATTTACAGGCTATTTAAGTATTTACCATAAGAGCAAGAATAATAATAAAGCTTAAATTTGCAAAATCATTTGCATTTTCCAAAGTGCTGATAGTACA